GCATTGGGATAGGTTATACCTTGATGAAATGGACGAGTTGATGTTGTTCGATGCACTAGCACCATTTGCACAAGTATACATATGTTAACAAAACCTGCTACGTTTATGCACATTACCCTACAACTAAAGTATAATAATCACCGATCGTCCGGCACTCCCCAGTGAGATGAACCCAGTACCTCAGTTGAAAATGCAGAAATCACCGGTCTTTTGTGTCGCTCGTGCTGGGAGTTGGAGACTGGAGCTGTTCCTATTCGGCCATCTTGCTCAACCCCCCAATGCTGCTTTATATAATTCTTATGCACTAACTTGAACCCTAACTATGATATGCATTAACTTGAACCCTAAGTATGAAAAATATAACTATCCTTTTTTTTCTCATATAATAAAAGTTAAATGTTCTTATTTCTTTCAATAACTTAACTTGAAAATATATCAAATTTTGGTGAATTTCAGCTAATCCTTAAATTAACTCTTGTCTAGAGAAAGTTGGTTATATTTATAGAAAAAATATAGTTCAATATGAAGTGCCTCTCTAGCACAAAATAACTGAAATCCTCTGTAAATAAAGACAAAAACATCTTTTGTCTTTTTTTTTATCTTTTCTTATCAGTGGTAAATGAAATTGGCAAGGCAATATCAGAAAACCTTTGAGATATATATATTTTAAATTCTAATTAAATTTTACCAGATTGGCTGCAATTCAATAATAATAAATACATCATGCTAATCCTGCATTTTTTTAAACACTGGGCTGTTATCCACTTCCATTTTATTTTAGCAACATGGAGTTCTATATTTATTCCCGATCATTAAAAAGTTTTAATCGCATCTATAAAAAGTATTTTAATATTTAATGTGCTTTTTGAAAGAACAATATGCACCAGACATCAAAGCACTCTATTTTAAAAATAGAAATTTTCTACTAACTGGCAATAAATTGAACCAGCAGAACACTAAATCTGTTCATAGATATATTTGGTTTTAAACATGGCAAAATATGTTTTCAATTTCAGCTGGTATGTTTGTCAGTGCTAGTATCTTCAATGCAATGACCAGTGTCATTATAACTTTATCTGTAATTTATTACAGAATATTTCATTTCTTCAGACTGTTGTATGGCAATAGGTCCAGTAGGAACCATTTTAGTGACTCTAAAAGTAAATAAATGTCCCACTCAGTCTGTTACATTGGCTTATTTAAAACTAAAGATGAGTTATTTGTCTTAAAATACCCCTGACAATTTAGAAAGTATTATACTAATAAATGTTTTATGTGTCTACATCATAGTTTCAGCAATCAATTTTAATAACATGCAGACAAAAAACTTTGGTTTCCTAAATATATCCTGTGTTTGCTAAATAATTATTTCTTAATATTTTGTAGTGATTGGGTGCCAGTGATATAGGTGCAATTCTAAGAAAGCATAGAATTATATGCAGTATCTAAGAAAGGATTTTTTAAATTAAAAATTTAAATAAAACAGACTTTAAATATGTAAAAATTTATGGAGAATTCAGAATTTACAGGGATATCCTCTTGTAGCTGAGATTTTAAATCTCAGTGAAAAATATGCATTGTTAAATTTGGAAACTATATTTTTTTCCAACAAAAAACTAGGAGAATAAGAATGATAAAAAAGTAAAATATCTAGTTATAAGAAAAGCATAAAATTAGAAGATAGGATTTATTTTTGCTATGACAGATTTTATTAAATGCAAACTTGGTTTTATGGGAAGACAATGCCTAATTAACTTTTAAAAGGATTATAATGTAATGTCTCTTTTTCTTCCATGTCTTCGTCACTGTGTTTCCATTCAATTTTATTTTTTAAAGAATTAAATAAAAATTAGTAAACTTTTATGCCCCGTAACTATATTAATTTCTCCATTACATAGCTCACTTGAAAACACATACTAACCAATACTAAAATATTCAGTCTCCACTTAACATCCATTGTTGTTCAATTGTTATTGGTATTTAGAAAACAGACTATATTTCTATGATATCTGAGCTAATGATAGTCATTTTGACTTTTGAGAATAGATTCAATGTTGGTAAAATTTGACAAGTAAACACAGGACCTGAACTAAAACAGGAAAGTACACAAGAAATCACAATGTTTCGTAAATTAGAAAATTCAGGAATGAATAGTAGTCATATGAGAGGACTGGATGAAGCCAGAAGCTACTTATCTGCCTCTAAGGATGGGGGTTAGGGAAGGGGTTGAAGCACAGTCTGATGTTGAGGAGCAAAGAACATTTCAGGAAGATAATTACTAGATGATTCTGAAGGCAGGGTCTCAGTTCTAACAGAACAAAGAGGCTCATAGGCAGAAAGTCTGTATAAAAAGTTGCCAGAACTCTCAATCAGCTATCCTGTCCTACATAGCCATGTGAATATTCCTCTCCCTTTATACCTTCACATAGTTGCGGATAAGCTCCTGCCTTTCAGAAAACCTGTTGTTTATTCTCTGGTAAGTTTGAACTAGAGGCAATTTAAACCTGAGATAATAGGCTCAATGAAGACTGGGGACCTCTACTAAAACTAGCAGGACTCAGTGAAAGTTTGCCATTGGACAGTCAGCCCCCCGGCTCTCCTCTCTATGTGGTCCCCACTGCCACACTAGCACATGGAAAGATTCCTTTCTGGGAAAATTGGCCAAAGAGAAAATATCTTCAAACAATGACATATAGTCATTCTAAAAGAAAGAGATGAGTCCCTTCCTAATCATTCATTTTACATGAAAGCTTACCACTCAATAAGTTCCATTCTGAAATCTCTCTCTCTCTCTCTCTCTCATACACACACACACACACACACACACACACACGAGTTATCAATAAGTTTTTTGGTGCTCTATTCACAAATATGGACTGATAGCTGCTAAGACAGAAGCTTAAACAGAGATCAACGTTTCAAGAAAATAAAGGAATTTAGAGAAAATTAAAACAGTGAAGGGTAAGAATAAAATTTGAGCACAACTAAAATTGATATCCAGAAAAATAGAAGATTTGGTATTCATGCACTAAAAAATTTTTCCTTAATAAAGAAAAATTTAGAGGAAAAGGCACTCTTAGAAACTAAAGTATCACTTTTTAGCATAAACAACTTTAATAAAGAGATATCTTATTTTCTTTCCGATGAAATCACTCCATAATTTGAATAAAGACCAAAATATGTAAACTAGAAAGCTCCATTCATAAATTTAGTATTCAATAATAGAAGTCTCAGAAAGATTAGAAAATTAGAAAAAAAAGTTTTTACCAAATGATGTGATGACATTTTCTAGAACCAAAGTACATGAACTTTCAAATTGATTTCACCCAGCAAATACGATTAAAAATTTTCCAAATCATAGTAGTTTAGCATGAAATTTAGAATGTTTGAAATGGGTAAAAAATAAGATCTGAAAGTTTACAAAGAGCAAAAATAGGTGACATACAAGGGATCTGGAGCAAGAAAAGCATTGGACTTAATAATGACAGTGGATTAAGAAGGAGAATGAGGGCCGGGCGCGGTGGCTCAAGCCTGTAATCCCAGCACTTTGGGAGGCCGAGACGGGCGGATCACGAGGTCAGGAGATCGAGACCATCCTGGCTAATACGGTGAAACCCCGTCTCTACTAAAAATACAAAAAAAAACTAGCCGGGCGAGGTGGTGGGCGCCTGTAGTCCCAGCTACTCGGGAGGCTGAGGCAGGAGAATGGCGTAAACCTGGGAGGCGGAGCTTGCAGTGAGCTGAGATCTGGCCACTGCATTCCAGCCTGGGCGACAGAGCAAGACTCCATCTCAAAAAAAAAAAAAAAAAGAAGGAGAATGAGGAAATACTTTTAAAATTCTAATGACAAATTATTTTCTGTTGTATTAGTTAGGCTTTGCCAGAGAAACAAAACAACATGTGTGTGTATGTGTGTCTGTGTGTATGTACATACACATATATACATGTGCATATATAAATATACACCCACATATTTCTCACTATACATACAATAGTAAAACTTGAATAATATAGAAACAATAAAAGAACAACTGACTTTCATTAGACATTCTAGAAAACAATTGCACTTTTTATGCTATATGTGTCTATTTCACTTAAAAATAGAATTTCACATATGATTTTGATGTTATGCTATAAATCAATCTACAATTTTAAATCTGAGAGATTATTTAGAAGTCACCAAATTTTAGAGTTTCCGTAAACTAGGTTTAGGGATGTGGATCAAATGTCTTGAAAATGTCTTGAACGCACAGAAAATTTATGACAATTGTGACTATTAAGAGCATTTGTCCATTTTCTTAGAGAGAGGGTGCATGGCTTCATCACTGAGTATCAACGAATGTCTCTGTGATCCCAAAAGAGTAAATTAAATTATCTTATTTTCCTCCTAAAATCACTGGGATTCGGAGTAGCTTCAATACATAGGAAATCTTATAAATTGCATAGATATTCTTACAAATTACATGGATATCTTATAATTATATATATTATAAATTACATCTTATAATTACGTAGATATTTTTATAAGACTGGAACAAGAGCTCAGGTTTCTTAACTCTAACACATTTTGGTAAAGCATTTTTCAACTTAGGTTTCCTAATGCTAATTCCTTTTGAGTGTGATGTATTCTTTTGGCCAGTAATATAGTATTGCACATTTCTCTTATTTATTTAAATGATTCCATTACAAACATAAAGATAGGATTTTATAGCCCAACGGTCTTGATATCACAGTCCTTTTTTTCATTTGTCTTCTCTTGTTCTTTTTGTTATTTCCAAGGTGATTTAGGTTCAAGTGAGCTTCCCTGACTGGCAATATTTTGTAGGTATTGTTACATTCCGTGGCAAGGAGGAGGTAACACCATTCATGAATTCATGGGACGAGAATAAACAGAAGCTCCATATGTGGATCTCTCCCAGACTCTGCCTTGACTATTTCTTCCCTTGGCTGATTTTCTGTATCTTTTCTCTGTAATAAATGTAGCCATAAGTTCTGCGGATATTTCCAGTGAATTATCAAACAAGATGGTTTTTCAATCTCCTGACCTTGCAACTGATATCACACAAGCAGAAGTCTTGTGTCCCTCAGACTTTCTGGGTTGGCTAGCACTGAATACTATGACAGCATATTACTCTACCCTGGGTCTCTATCCTTTTAAAATTCATTTATTACTGGATAAAAAGAAATGAAAGATATAATATTTTTGTCTTACAAAAGTAAAAAGCAAGTATTTCCAAATCATACTGTACCTTATATTATCAATTTCCTTCCATATTACTTTTTTTTGGTAAGTCTAGATAAGACATTGTAGGAATTTCATGATTAATAATCAGTTTTTTCATTTTCCTTTCTTTTTAAAATGTTGATTGATTGGCTAGAAAGTTGCTTTCGGTATGACACAAACAAATGTTTTGAAACAAAGGTGAAAAAAACAAGTGGGAAATGGACTGGGTGCGGTGGCTCACACCAGCAAACCCAGCACTTTTGGAGGCCTAAGCAGGTGGATTACCTGAGGTCAGGAGTTCAAGACCAGTCTGGCCAATATAGTGAAATCCCATCTGTACTAAAAATACAAAAAATTAGCCAGGCATGGTGGCAGATTTCTGTAATCCCAGCTACTCTGGAGGCTGAGACAGGAGAGTTGCTTGAATCCAGGAGGCGGAGGTTGCAGTGAGCCGAGATTGCGCTATTGCACTCTAGCCTGGGCAATATGAGTAGAACTCCGTCTCAAAAAAAAATTATAATAATAATAATGGGTGCAGCACACCAACATGGCACATGTATACATATGTAACAAACCTGCACATTGTGCACATGTACCCTAGAACTTAAAGTATAATAATAAAAAAAAGTGGGAAATGAATACTGTCATTTATCAACTTATACTTAATTGTTGTTTTTTACAATCACTGGTTTGCTTGTATGTACAGAAGTAGGAGTGACAAATAATGAAAAAAAAATGCTGTAGTAGAAAAATTATAATGATGCTACATTGCTAATTACTGTAGCAATATTTCATTCTAATTTATAAATTTAAAAAATATCTCAAATACTCTGCAGTTGTAAGTAAATAATCAGCACCTCCATAAACACTGTGATAAACCTAACAGTTGACCTTTCTAGGTTGGAATTCTGAATATGACATGGAATAATGTGTGTTCTTAGTCCAGACCAACAGGCTGCAGTAAAGGACTTTACGAATAATAACATTTGAAGTTCTTCTCACAGAATGGAAAGAAAAATATGAGTGTTGACTCTGGCAGCTAACGGCATATGCTTAACCACTGAAGCAGTGAGGAGATAGACAGAATCATAATTGAACATGCTGTATTAATCAAGACTATGATAGACAGAATCATAACTGAACATGCTGTATTAATCAAACCAACTCTGTGTTCTCCACAGCTCTTTACATTTGAAGTGCTTTGCCAAGAGGATCATTTCCCACAAACTGAACAAGGTAACTGCTGCCTACATTTCAAGCTGCATAATAGCTTTTTTCACCAACAGAACTTTATACTTCTTTAAATTAAGAAGCTCATTATAGGGGAAGAAAACCATATACTTAATGTCTCAGAAAAGGTTAAATGAAAAGGGCAACCCTTCAAATACTTATTGCAAATCCAAAAGATGTTACCTTTTATTCTACCAAACGGCTCACGTAGGTAAGAGCATGTTGTTTGATATCATTGTTAGGATGCTTAATCAATGCCATCGTAGAACTTGAGAAATCCTTACATTTATATATTGTTAGAAGTTAAAATCCAGCAAAAGACCAAGTTCATCCTAAGTTTTGACAAAACATATCCTGTGAAGATCTATTATACAAACAGAATATGTCCTCAGATGGCTCCTGAATGCTAAAAAATGGAAATGGTTGGAGACATTATTGTCAACTGCCTGAAGCAGGCGCCTGATTAACTCCAAGACTGGGTCAGATAAGGTGATGCTTCCTTTGAGGAGCAGTGTTACTATGCACCCTACTGCTGCCATTTAAACAATCTTCACACAGTGACTTTCCCTGGAGGATGCTACTGAGGGTTCAAAAGGGGATGCAGGCTTCGTGTGGTCCCCTCCAACAGATTCAGTTGTTTGTGTAAAATAGTTGCCTTGCCAAAGACCTCCCGCCCAAAGATTCTGATTTCCATTTATAAACATGGTTTTCAATTTTTTCAAGGATCAAATATTTATAATATCAGAAAAATATTTTTAATCAAAGCACTCCATAGTTTAAATAAAAATAAGTATTTAAAATTATATCTCTGTACCATGTAACATGACCATTAATTAGCAATAATAAATGTCTTGTTTCACTACTGTAATATATTCCAAAAAGTAGAATATTAAAGTATGAATAGAAAGAAAAAACATTACGGAGGCACAAAAATGTCAAATCACAAAATTCATTCAAAACAGAATCTCCGTGTGTAATTAATGCATGGTTATATCACAAATAGAAATCAGATAATTATTTGAGTACTCATTCAAAGTATAGAAAGGTATAGAAAAAGGAACTCATGTCTCACAGTCTACAGTTGTTCATTCTCAAAGAACATAAATGTGGATGAAAAACTTTGAATTCCTTATCTTTAAATTACATGCTGCAATCTTCTAAATATCTAATCACAAGTAAATGAATCACCTATGAAAATAAGTTTTATGTAAGTGTTATGTAATTTTTGGATGTATATTATAATAATTCACTCTCTTATCTTCAGACTTTACAGAAGACATAACTCACAAAGTAAAATAAACAAATATAATTAAGTAGCTAATTTAACTAACAGAACTGAATATATCAGATTCTACAAAAATATAGCTTTACCAAGACTAGAGCTGATTCTACCAAATTAATCTTCTATTTGGTTAGAAACTCTCATTTTTAACCCTCTTCATTTCTTACACAATTTAACTAGGTGAACATTTACTTGCTATATTGGGACACCAAAAAGTAGATCCTGTTATCTTTGTTCTCAAAGGATTTCCAATGCAGTTAGAAAAACCACCATATACTGAAGAATTATGGATTCATTCATATTATAGTAATTTGTATTATGCAAATCTGAGTCACAATATTTAATAATGTTTTATTATACCGTTGACCTAAGGATAGATAATCATTGCAGTCCTAGAAACTAGCAGACTTCCTCAGAAGTGTAATGTACTGTGTTAGGAAACAGTATTGCCCATTCATTCATTTATTCAACAATGATTTTTTGAGCATTAGTTTTGAACCAGATTATCTTCCAAGAACAGTAAAAAAAAAAAAGTTAATAAAATACAAAGTTTTATTCTTAAGGAAACTACATGTCAGACTTTGTTAGCAGTTTTCTCCTTTGTCTTATACACACATCTTCAACTTCTACCTCCAGCACCTCTTCTCCAGGCAAACAGCCCAATCTAGACCCATCATGGTATATGCCACATTCTTCTGGCAATAATTTGTTAAGCATTATGTATATGGTCTATATTAGTCCATGTTCACACTGTTATAAATAAATACCAAGACTGAGTCATTTATAAAAGAAAGAGGTTTAACTGGCTCATAGTTCCTCATGGCTGGGGAGGATTCAAAAAGCTTACAATCATAGTGGAAGGCAAAGAGAAAGCAAGGACCTTCTTCACATAGTGGCAGGAGAGAGAAGTGCAAGAATGAAGTGTCACACTTTAAAACCATCAGCTCTGCTGAGTTACTCAGTATCCTGAGGGCAGCATGGGGGAAACCACCCTCACGATCCAATCATATTCCGCCTGGTCCCTCCCTCGACAGGTGGGGATTACAATATGTGATGAGATTTGGGTGGGGATGCAGAGCCAAACCATATCATAGTCTAAATAAAGATATTAAGAGTCCTTCTCTGAAATTGGTATTTCTGCTTAATATAAAGTTCTGTGAATTTAATTTAAAATATCCCAACTAATACAACAGATGTGCTATAAATTATCCTTAAATAGGTACATTGATAGTGCTAAGAAAATTTAAAGATAAATCTCTGTAGTTTGTACAGAAATGAATAGAGGAAAAATAAGTAATAGACAAACCTTAATAAATGAAGGATTTAATTTGTTAAATTAGTCATTTCATGAAGAAAAAATAATATAACTTTATTAATGAATGGACTATTCCATTGGACTTATTTTTCATGTTAAGTAGGAAAAGAGGAACTGATTACAATTTTCAGGAAGCAAAAGAAACAGTAAATTTTGAAGAACTTTATGTGAGTTTCCACAGTCCATGCTACTCCCTGCAACTCCTGGGACAAGCTGCAAAGTACTCTGTGCTGTTTCACACACAACTTTCCTTTTCATCTTTGAAATTAACACTGTAAGCTCCATAAGGACATAAACCTGTCTGAGATAAACTTCCTAAAGTAAATCTTGTTAATAGCTTTCATTAGGAAGTAAATTAGTACAAATAATAATAAGTTCTCAGAGGATATCAAAAGATTTTCAAAAATGCCAAATTCAGTCATAGACTAAATAGGAAGTAAATGGTAGGTCTTGGTTAACTTACAAAACAGTTAAATCATCTTAAGCCAAGGTAATTGAAATTTGTGTTAAACTCTTTATATACATTATCTTAAATAATTTTAAAATGTCTTGTGTAATTTTAAATGTATTTTAATAACTTCATCTTATGTATGTTGTAGGTATTATCCCCAGTAAAAATTACTGGACATCATGTATCTTCAGCGTGTTCATCAGGAGTCACACACAGTATCAAATGTTGAATGTAGATTCCAAAAGTCTACCATAATCCAAAAAAATAAGAAGTAAATTTAGTATCTACCTTAAGCATCCCAAATTGCCAGAATTAGTGAATAGATAATATATCCTCTCCTTTCCTCGTTACTCTATATATGCGTATCCTGAAACTGCTCCTGAGTCAAGGGAAGACTTCTCCTAATAAAAGATGGCTATTTTCCAAAAAGCACGCAAGTCACCATATTCCCTTATTACAATCACTG